CAGCTCAGGCCAGAATGGTTCAGACCACGGGCAGCCTCCCAGCCTCTCAGGGTAGCGTGTGTCTGGACTATCCCAGCATCAGGGGAGCCCTGCTGGACTGGTTCTGCAACGTGGATAGGAACAAGTGTCATTTCGCCACCACCTGTGCTAGATGTAGGCGCTCTTCTGTGTTGATTTCTGAGCCCACACTGCAACCCTCACCCCTGGAGGCTCTGGTGGGGCTATTCGGGTAATCCAGGCTCTTCTAGAACTGACCTCAGAAACGCAGGCATCCAACAGTTAACATGCCCAAAAGGGAACTCTGGATTTTCCCCACAAAATAAACTTGATCCCAATTAGTGCACTTCAGGGCACTCAGTTGCTCAGGCCCAAAGCCCGGAAGTCTCCCTTGATTCCTCTTGTCCTCTCACACCTCACACTCCAGCCATTAGTGAGTTTGCTCAGCTCCGCCTGTAGAGCAAATCCTGAATCTACCCACTACTCTCCATCCTCACTGCCACTGCCTTACTCCAGGCCACCGTTGCTTCTCACCTGGTTTACTGCAAGAGCCTCCTAATTGATCATCCTATTTTATTGCCCCTTCTAGTGCATTCCCCACACAGCAGTTTCAGTGACCCCTGGAAAATGTAAAACACAGTCTATCACACCATTCCTCAGTACTTTCCACTACTTTCCAATACACCTACAATAAAATTCAAAGCTCTTCCTGTGGCTTTCACGACTCTGGATGCCTTTTTTTTTTTTTTTTTTTTTTTACTACTTTCCAATACACCCATAATAAAATTCAAAGCTTCTTCCTGTGGCTTTCACGACTCTGGATGCCTTTTTTTTTTTTTTTTTTTTTTTTTTATACAGAGTCTCACTCTGTCGCCCAGGCTGGAGTACAATGGCATGATCTCGGCTCAGTGCAACCTCCACCTGCCGGGTTCAAGCGATTCTCCTTCCTCAGGCCACATGCATAGCTGGGACTACAGGCAGCGCCACCACGCCCAGCTAATTTTTGTATTTTTAGTAGAGGTGGGGTTTCACCATGTTGGCCAGGATGGTCTTGATCTCTTGACCTCGTGATCTGCCCACCTCAGCCTCCCAAAGTGCTGGGATTACAAGCGAAGCTTGCTCGCGCCTCGGGCGCCTCTCTATCTTACATCCCCATTACACTCACACACTTTCCTTAGTGGCACTGGCCACACCACCTCCTTGCTGTCTCAGGCCTTTGCCGCTGGTGTGCTCTGTCCGTGGTGCTGAGTGCATTCTAGTGTGGATTCAACTAGAATTGTCTCCTTTCCACCATATGGTTCTTAGCTCAAAATGTTACCTTTTCTAAAAGACCTTCCTGACCATCCCCATCTAAACTGGCTTCAAAGTTACTATCACAGTGATTTATTTCACAGAATTTAGTACTTCATAGAATTTAGCACAAACTATATTTCATTTTGCACTTATTGGTTTACTTGATGTTGTCTGTTTTCATCACTAGAATGTAAGCTCCATGAGGCCACAGACATCAGTTGCCTTAGTTACCCGGAGCAGCATCTTCACATGGCAGTTGTTTAACAAATATTAGTTGAATGAGTGAATGAATGAATGAGTGGATGAATTCTCAGCCCTGCATTAATTTTTCTTTTCCTGGCTAGTCATGGAGCCCCAGAAAGGTGTCAGCAGCACTCACCTCCTGATAAAATTGTGGTCCAGGGTTTGAGGCCTGTGTTGGGGTCCCCAAGGTCACCCTCAGGTTTGATGCTTTCCTGGGAGGAGGACTCAAGAGAGACTCAGCACACAGTCATACGCATGGCTACGATTTACTACAGTGAAAGTACACAAAGCACAATCAACAAAGGGAAAAGGCCCATGGGCATAACACATCTGTACTCCACCCCTTGACTTGCCATGTGGCTATGGCAAGACAGAGAATGTGTTATGTTACACCAGGATAATGAAGAATTGGACCCAATAATTCAATCTACCACACCTAGTGGTGGCATGTAGCTACAATTTATTAATCGTGATTTTATTTCCCTTTTAGGTTATGGCACTTGAAACTGGTTTTCCATTCATAGGAGTGCTGTAAAGTTTCCATTTACAGGTACGTCTTAAATGGTTTTAGAAAACAAGTTCATTTTAAATACAAATATTAAGTAAATAGGAATGCAGGGATGTTATGTGGAAATGAAAGCCATCATGAAGATATTATTCATTGCTGCAGAAACAGGGCAAACATTGAAAAAGGATATTTGAGCAGTTGAAATTTGAGAAACATTAAAGTAAGACATAAAATAGGATTACAGGACTCTCCCTTCATTGTTTTCTTCTGTTTCAGGAAGAAATCACCTCTAAGGGGTCACTCAGTAACATTCCTTTGGGCCAGGCACGGTGGCTCACGCCTGTCATCCCAACACTTTGGGTGGCCAAGGCAGGTGGATCCTGAGGTCAGAAGTTCAAGACCAGCCTGACCAACATGGAGAAAACCTATCTTTACTAAAAATGCAAAAATTAGCCAGGCATGGTGGCACAAGCCTGTAATCCCAGCTACTCGGGAGCCTGAGGCAGGAGAATCGCTTGAACCCGGGAGACAGAGGTTGCAGTGAGCCGAGATCATACCACTGCACTCCAGCCTGGGCAACAAGAGTGAAACTCCATCTCAAAAAAAAAAAAAAAAAAAAAAATCCTTCCCTCCGAATTCTGGGGTAAGGATTTAACCTCTTTTTCCAAATAGATTTTGGAAAAACTTGAGTCCATTTTGAAATAACCATAATTCATCTGGACTATGAGGGTCATAACTGGAGATTTTTCCCCATATTGAGGACCTGCTATTCAATAATTATAATGACAAACCAGTGACATTTACTGAGCACTCGAAACTAGGAGGCATATGTATTAACTTATACGATGTTCACACTAACCCTATGAAGTAGAAAATATTATTGTCCCCATTTTGCAGGTAAGGAAACGGAGACCGAGTTAATTCACTTCCAAAGGTTACACAGCTAGTACATGGTTAGATCTGCATCTGGGTGCCTGGTTCCTAACCCTCTCACGACTCTGTGACCTGGGGCAGCTCCCCTGGTCTCCTGTACTAAATACCTTGTTATCAAAGGAAGTGATGAGGATTGGATGAAATGTCTAATTCTTGACAGTTCATCTCTCTTCTCTGCACATTCTGAACTATCTTTGGAATGGCAGGAAACTCATCTCCTAAACATAGAAATGAAGGAAGTTTCCCCTCCCAATTACATAACCTATCTGAAAACTCCTAGGCAAACCCAATCTCAGCTCTTCCACAATCTTGCTGTGTGTCCTTCACACAACTCATTTAACTCCTTCGTGCCTCAGTTCCCTTCTCTGTAAAATGGCGATAATAATACTTCCACTTTGGGCTGTTGGAATTAAATGAGATAATATTAACAAGAGGCCTTTCCTTATAGTATTTTTTGGATAAACGAGAGTTATTTTTGTTTTTCTGAATGATCAGGGTAATTCAGTTTTCTATCCATTTGGAAAAGGATGTTAAATCCTTACCTCATACCATTCAAAAAAATTCCATAAGGTTCAAACAAAATAAATATATAAAATAAGACTGTAAAATATAAGATTATCCAGGAAAATCTGTTTATGAGAGTAGGGTGAGGCCAAGTGAAGTATTCATGCCTGTAATCCAGCGCTTTGAAAGGCTGAGCCGGGAAGATCAGTTGAGGCCAGGAGTTTGAGACCAGCCTGGGCAACATAGTGAGACCCCCTTTCTACAAAAAAATTAAAAATTAGCCAGGTGTGGTAGCACACGCTTGCAGTCCCAGCTACTCAGGAGGCTGAGGCAAGAGCATCACTTGAGCCCAGGAGTTCAAGGCTGCTGTGAGCTATGATCACACTACTGCACTCCAGCCTGGGTGACAGAGTGAGACCCTGTCTCAAAAAGATGGGGTCGGGGGTGGAGGGCGAGAGAGAGAGAGAGAGAGAGTGAGAAGGGATAGAAGGCTGAGGAAGGGCATCTTAAGACGTTAAAAGCAAAAAGTATAAAATAAAATAAAAAGGATATCTTGGATTTTTATTAAAATTCAAAACTTCAGGCACTGTGTAAACACAATAAAAACATAAGGGAGAAGCCAGGAGAAAATATTTGCCACAGAGAGTGTAACAGGCGAACAATTAATGTGCAGACTATAGAAAGAATACCTATTAATCAGTAAGTAAAAGCTATATAAACAAATAGAGCAATGCCAAGAGGAGACAAACAGGTAATTCGCAGAAGAGAGAATAAGCCTGTTCAAAAACATGTGAGTTTACTTCTCCTCACTAGTAATCAGGGGAATATAGCTAAGATTATGCAGGCACACCGTTTTCCCCCTACTTATGGCTTTGTCGAAAATTTTAAAAATTTAATGTAGCCTCCATGAGAGCAACTTGGCTGTAGTCACTGCAATTGCATATTTGAACAACAACGGTCATTGATAATAATAGCAGCTGTTAGGAACTGTTGTAAGAACTGCACGTGTATTACTTATTATTGTTATTATTGTTTTACTTTCACAGAAATCCTGGGACTTGGTAACCATAATTATTCCCACTTTACAGCGTGGGCAACCGAGGCACGGAAATGGTAAGTAACACACCCGAGGACTCACTAGTAACGAATGGCAAAGCCAGCCGCTGCCCCAGGCGGTCGGGCCTCAGGGTCCCTGGGCTGCCACCCCCTGCCCCAGCTCCTTCTCCCTTCCGCCCACCCGGACTCCCGGTTTGCAGACTGGAGAACCACGGGGGGCGTGCGCAAAGCCGCTGGCCTTGGGGCATCTGTCGCAGGGGACCTCGAACATAACGTACGTGCCCATCAGCTGGGGATGGACCAGCTCGGTACCACACCCCCCTGCAACCACGCCGCGGGTACACGGCCTCTGCGGCCCCTCCACTGCCTTCCCCACGCCCCTCCAGGTGCAGGCTTCCAGGGGGTGGAGGATGGGAGGAGGCCGCCCACGCTCCCCAATTCCCCCACCTCCCACCTCCCACTTCCCCCCCCGCAGCCTCCGCGTCTGCGCAGCCGCAGTCAGTGCGGCGCCAGCTCTGCAGAGCCCAGACAGGGTCTGGTTGGGGAGGGTGAGTCCTTCGAGGGACCCCCGCGGGCGGGAAGGAGGCGGAGAAAAGGGGCTGGGGGCTCGGGCGGCGATCCAGGGAGGCGCGCGCGCGAGTGTGGATGCGCAGAGTGTGTGTGTGCATGGGTGGGGGTGAAGGGCAGAGCCGCTCCAGGGATGGGGTCCGGGGAGGGGGGCGTCTCCAAGCCGGTCCGGTGGGAGAGGGCCGGGGTCTGTCGGGGTCGCGTCTGTTTCTCCACAGCGGCGGTCTGTGTCCTGGTTTGGGGTTGCAGGTGAATTCCAGCCTCCGCGTCAGGAGGGGAGCCCAGACCTGCACTGAGAGTGCATTGATGGTCTGTGTACCCTCGTGGGGCGGTGCGGGCACGTGCGCTTGTCTCGCGGGGACCCCATGTCGATGTTCGCTCCCCCCTGGGTGTCAGCACACCTGCCCGCGTGTGCACCTGTGCGTGTTCGCGTCGTGTGTCCGTCTGGGTCCCCGTGGACCACCCTGCAACGGTGGGAGCGCAGGCTCTCAGCAAACAGGTGCTGCAGCCCCGCCCCCACTCTTCTGAGCTGAGTGGCTTTGATCAAGGGACTTCCCTGTCTGTCAAATGGAAACATAATAGTGTCTGTAGCGAGAAGCATGGCGAGCTTTATGTGAGAAAAGGGATTCGCAGTGCTCAGCAGGACTGGGCACAAGGAGAGTCCTGGGCTCCAGGAAACACTGCCGATATAGTTATTGCTTTTATTGTGGTTGCTGGTTGTCGTTGTTGTGACTGCGTCTCTATCCTCTCAGGGGATGACTTGTTTGCTATTTCACCAAGAACACTGAGGCTGTGGAGTGTGAATCCCCTCCCCCCCACCATACCTCTGTCTCATCCCCTTTCCTTCTTCCTCCTCCATTCACTGCAGATCCAGCTTCTCCTGACCTTGACCTGATGGCTCTTGTCTCTCCCATCTGTCACCCCGCTTGCCTGCATTTTCTCCTTTTCCATGCCGTCCCCTCCCGTCAACCTAGATCCATGATTAATTATGTCTCACATTAAAAACAAAGCAAAACAAAACCCCAAAGCAATAAACAAAGCAGAACTCCCTGATGGTACTCCGTAACACTCTTTCCCATGAACGTCCCGTAGGAATTTTCTTCCCCTGAAAAATATCTAGGCAGCTTCCTCTCCTCACTCCCAACAAACTCCCCAACCCACACTGAGGTTGCAAATGGGCAACCCCAGGGTCTAATTCAACCCCACAACTTGTGCTATTTGACTACAGGTGTCTTCCTGTTAAACACTGGAAATAATTATTGACATCATGAAATGTAGAAAATGCCATCTGAAAATACAGATTTCCAGTCTTCTTTTGAGAAATCACAGGATGGGCAACATCAGTCCCAAGCGTTTGCTCTGCAAACATTAGCTGAGTTGCACGGTGCTGCTTCTTCAGACAGGAGACCTGATTTCTCTTTTGCTGCACTCCCCACGGCCCCCGTCATCTCTTCCCATGCCATACATCTGCTGCCGTTTGTTCATGGGCACCTTACAATAGGGAAGTATTTCTCTGGACCTATATGTAATTTTCATGTGTAGAAAACTCACAGCAAAAGAGTACTCTTGATTGATTCATTGATTTGTTCTTTGAGACAGAGTCTTGCTCTGTCACCCAGGCTGGAGTGCAGTGGCATGATCCTAGCTCATTGAAGCCTTGAACTCCCAGGCTCGAAGGATCCTCCCAGTAACTGAGACTACAGGCTCGTGACACCACACCTGGCTGATTTTTAAAAATTGTTGTAAAGCCTGGGTCTCAGGCTGGCCTCACACTCCTGGACTCAAGCAACCCTTCCACCTTGGTCTCCCAAAGTGCTGGAATTACAGGTGTGAGCCACCTCGCCTGCGGATTCATTTATTAATTCGTGTCGTTTCCTGTCCCATTTGTGTTACCTGCCGAGCCTTGGAGGCACGTGAGTTCCAATCATTGCTGCTGGGGTTTCTGTCTGTTGGAATGCTGGGTCTGTGCTCGGTTTGGTCCTGTCTGCTTGCTTACCTTTCTCCTCCAGGAGAATGTAAGCTGTTAAGGATGTCAAATTCATCTTCACGTACCCAATACTCCGCACAGGTTTGGCCCGAAGTTCTGGCTGAGAAATGGTTGGGAAAAGTTGTATTCATTCAAGCACTCATGGGTGGCAGATACGCACAGGGTCCCATGAGAGATGAAGGGGAAGCTCTGGCCTGACAGGTGGGGGACTTTCTAGAAGCCTGTGCAAGGAGGTCAAGCTGAGGCTGGGATAGAGGAACACCCTTTTGTTCCTCCATTCACCAGGTACTTACACTATGTATTAAATCGTGTCTGTCTAGGTGGAGACAGCAGCTCTATGAGGTAGCTGTCACTGTTATCACCTCCCCATTTTACAGATGAGCAAACTGAATTTTGGAGAGGTTAAAGTGACCTGCCCCAGGCCACATGGGAAATATGTGGCAAAATTGAAATTCACACCTGTGTGGTCATCTCCATGCCTGGCTCATAACTACTCAGCCATGCAGGCAGCAGTTAGCATTTTATTAACTGCTGTCATTCTTTCCCCACTGTCCTGAGTATTTTATCCGTTTAGCAATACCTGTACTAGCAAACACTTACCTACTATTTTTTAAATTACCTCTTTTTTCTTCTAACATTATTATTATTATTATTATTATTATTGAGACAGAGTTTCACTCTTGTTGACCAGGCTGCAGTGAAATGGTGCAATCTTTGCTCACTGCAACCTTCGCCTCCTGGGATCAAGTGATTCTCCTGCCTCAGCCTCCCGAGTAGCTGGGATTACAGGTGTGTGCCACCATTCCCAGTTAATTTTTGAATTTTTAGTAGAGATGGGGTTTCACCATGTTGGCCAGGCTAGTTCGAACTCCTGACCTCAGCTGATCCACTCGCCTTGGCCTCCCAAAGTGTTGGGATTACAAGAGTGAGTCACTGTGCCCGGCCACAATTTTATGTTAGTACCTGTGACAGGCAGAATGCTAGCTCCCTACAGATGTCCAAGTGCTAATCCCCAGAATCTGAATGTGTGGGATTACCTGGCAAGGAAGAATTAAGGCTGCAGATGAGATTAAGGTCAGCTCACTTGGAGATGGAGAGAAGATCCCTGATTGTCTGAGTGGGCCCAAGGTAATCACAAGGCTCCTTAAAAATGGAAGAGACACTGGGCATGGTGATGGGCGACTGTAGTTCCAGCTACTCTGGAGGCTGAAGCAGAAGGATTGTATGAGCTCAGGAGGTTGAGGCTGCAGTGAGCTATGTTCATGTCACTGCACTCCAGCCTGGGCAACAGAGCAAGACCTTATCTCTAAAAACAATCAAAGAAACAAAACAAAACAAAAAAACAAGGACGAAAGATGCGGGAGAGTCAGGGTCAGAGGGTTGCAATGGGAGAGTCAAATGGCCACTGCTGGCCTTGAAGGTGGAGGACGGGCCATGGACTGAGGGAAGCAGGTGGTCTCTGTATCTGGACAAGACACAAAACGATTTCCCCCAGAGCTTCCAGAAGGAACCGCCCAGCCCACACCTTTGTTTTATCCCAGTGAGACTCACTTCAGACCTCTGACCTATAGAACCCTAAGAACCATGTGAGCTGCTGTAAGCCAGCGAGTCCGTGGTCCTTTGTCAGAGCAGCCGTAGGAAACTCACGCAACACCCACAGGGCTCTTTAGGTCACGGCTTCATAAAAGACCTGCAGTGGTGCTGATGGTGCCGCTGAGCTGGGTCTAAACAACACAACAAAGTTCGTGCAGGATGCAGCTCCCAAAGCCAACCTGCCTAAACACTGAGATATTGAAACACACATATAACCACAAATCACGTGACATACAGTTTCAGCAATTTTTATTTTCTTTCAGTTTTTAAGTGAGATCTAAAAAAAGACAGAGTGATGTGCACGAAGTGTACAGTGGGGCGAAGGTACAGCTCAATAAATTGGTGCACAAGTAAATCCCCCTGGTGACCACAACTCAGCAAGACAGAGGGCATTTCCAGCAACCCCCGAAAGCTCCTCATAGCCTTTCTCACGTCTGCCGGCCTGGCACCACCACCATTCTGACTCCACTGAGACCAATTCATTTTGACCTGTTCCAGACGTTTTGTATCTCAGTCAAATCACATGTATGTGCTCTCTGTATCTGGCTTTTTTCACTCAGTCATATACATACATATACGCATGATGTACTTACATGTTTATAATATAAATATATTTACAATTTTATACTTAACATACATGTATTGTATTTATGGTATGAATATATTATATTTATAACTATATTATGAAATTGTTTCTATAACTTTATATTTATATTATATTTATAATATTCATGTTATATTTATAACATATTTACATGTAAATTATATAAATGTACATAAACATATTTGAAAATGTATATTTATAATATAAATATATTTATTTTTTATATTTATAATACAAATATATTTATTTTTATATTTATAATACAAATATATTTATTTTTTATATTTATAATACAAATATATTTATTTTTTATATTTATATACAAATATATTTATTTTTTATATTTATAATACAAATATATTTATTTTTTATATTTATAATACAAATATATTTATTTTTTATATTTATAATACAAATATATTTATTTTTTATATTTATAATATAAATATATTTTTAATATTTATAATATAAATATATATATTTTTATATTTATAATACAAATATATTTTTTATTTATAATACAAATATATTTTTTATATTTATAATACAAATATATTTATTTTTTATATTTATAAGTATATATTTATATAAAATAATTATATACTAAAATATATTTGCTTATTTAAATATATATATATTCTATTCACCCATGTTGCCACCTGTATCCTTTTGTTGGCCCCTCTCATTACTGAGCTGTACTCCCCTGAATGCATAAACTGCAATTTATGTCTGCATTATCCTGTTGATAAACACCTGCTTTTTTAGCATTTTCATTATGCCTATGAGTGCTTCTGGCTATGCATATAAACCACTGCGCTCTTATGAATGGTTATGAATACAGCAGACATCAACATTCACGCACACGCGTGTGTGCGGACACAGGTTCTCATTGCTCCTGGCTAAGTGTCGGGGGGTTTAATCACCAGGTCCCAGGGTGCACCTCTGCTCAGCTTTCCTGGATGTTGCCAAATAGTTTTCCAAAGTGATTGAGCCAACAGACACGTCCACCAGCAGGCATGAGTCAACCTGCTTTAAAACTCTACCTCAGTGGGTTTCAAAGGCAAACTTTGGATCACTGTTGCAAAGGGAAAGCCAGTATCACTTTTAATGTTTATTTCTTACTGAGGGGAAGCTCTGTGCTGGCTGCTTTGCCTGCCTGGCCTGAAGCTGCTCTCCCTTTGTTAGAAAGGAAGCTCAGCGAGAGAGATGCTAAAAGCATAGGAGCACCCAACAGAGACTTTCTCTTTGAGGTAATGCGGAGGATCACAGGGGCTGACGCAGGAGATGCTTTTTCTCCCTGGAAGTCAGTGTCAGAGATCCCTGGCTGTGCCTGAAATCTCCACCTGGACTGTCTAGGAGGTGAAAGCATGCAGGGACAGTGGTGCCCACTCCTGGGCATTGAGAATCTCATAACTAGAGGGGTCTTGAGGAGGTTGAAGCTGGCGGCAGGGGAGCGGAGAGCAGGATCCATGGTCAAAGGGCTGAGTGGACCCCCAGGAGGCAGGGTGATGAACACGGTGGAGGTCACTCTATCCAGGGGAACAAAAACGCAGACTGGGACGGACCCTGGGCATCAGGCAGGAGGGCAGAGTATTTTCTGAGGCAAGAGGAAGTGGACTTGGCCAAGGATTGGATGTGGCAGGGGAGGCGGAGGCAAGTCGAAGATGAGTCCTGTAGAGATTGTTGGGGAGGACGGTGGAGTCCTGGCTGAGAGCGGGGGACCCAGGAGGAGGGAGTGCTGTGAGTGGGGCAGTGGGCAGAGGGGTCTGGGGAAATGAGGAGCTTGAATTTGGGTTCTAGGGAAATGTGAGACACCCCGCTGCAGGAAGGAGACAGAAATGTGGATTGGTAATGCAGAAAAAGAGAGACATCCTGCATATATATACACATATAAACATATATATTTTCTATTATGAAAACATTTCAAACATACTGTTCAGTGCGAGGATAGTACTGTGAACCACCGTCTACCAACTTCCCAGATTCGGCATTTCTCATTTTCTTGTGTGGTCTTTCTTTGTGGGAGTTTGTTTTTTGTTTGTTTTTGTTTTTTTCTGTAAGTTCTGGGATACATGTGCAGAACGTGCGGGTTTGTTCAATAGGTATACATGTGCCATGGTGGTTTGCTGCACCTATCAATCTGTCATCTAGGTTTAAGCCCTGCATGCATTAGCTATTTGTCCTAATGCTCTCCCTCCCCTTCCCCCACCCCAACAGGCCCCGGTGCGTGATGTTCCCCTCCCTGTGTCCATGTGTTCTCACTGTTCAACTCCCACTTACGAGTGAGAACATGCAGTGTTTGGTTTTCTGTTCCTGTGTTAGTTCGCTGAGAATGATGGCTTTCAGGTTCATCCATGTCCCTGCAAAGGACATGAACTCATTCTTTTTATGGCTGCATATGGGAGTATTTTAAAGCAAATCTCGGCCATCAGGTCAATTCACCCCTACGTACTACAAAAGCACCTCTAAAAGCTAAGGTGGACCTCTCCCTATCTATCCGTAAAGCCATTCCCATACTCAACAAAAGTCAGTGATAATACCTTGGGGTAGTCAAATACCCAGTCCATAATCACATTAATTTGGTTTTCTTTAAAAAAAGTTTTCTTTTCACAGATGATTTAGTTTTTTAATCTGAGACCAAACATCATAGTCCCTACATGGTTTTGGTTGTTGAGTCACAAACTTCTTCTTGATCTACAGTGTCTGCCCCGTGATTTTAAAATTTGACAGAACAATTTCTATTTACATAAGCCTAAGCAAAGAGAAAAAGGCTCACAAAGCTTTCCATTCACTCCAAGATAATTTACTTTTTTTAAAAGTTATTATTCACAAGGATAGTCTTTGGGTTACACACACAAAATTGATGATACAATTTCCTAAAACAAGAGCATAAACCAGCTTTAGAGTTTTAAGGCAAAGGGTTACATAATTATAAGTCCTTAGAGTTTAGATAGCTTCTTGCAAACAACCACCTGAATTTCAGGTTGATCAACTATATAGAATACAGATATTAAATAATAGTTCATTTAAAATTAGACTTTTGAGGCTGGGCACAGTGGCTCATGTCTGCAAATCCCAGCACACTGGGAGGCCCAGGTGGGGAGATCACTTGAGGTCAGGAGTTTGAGACCAGCTTAGCCACCGTGGTGAAGCCTCACCTCTACTGAAAATGCAAAAATTAGCTGCGCATGGTGGTGCATGCCTGTAATCCCAGCTACTCAGGAGGCTGAGGCAGGAGAATCCATGGAACCTGGGGGGCAGAGGTTGCAGTGAGCCAAGATCCTGTCACAGTATTGCAGTCTGGGAAACAGCGAAACCCTGTCTCAAAAAATAAAATAAAATAAAATAAAATAATAAAATAAAATAAAATAAAAAAATGAAAAAGACTTTTAACCCCCATATGGTGAATGCATCATTTTTTGTGACAACCAAGGAGAAATTTGGGGCCATGGGGGGCTGGTGTGAAGACTAGGGCTCTTCTTTCTATGGCCAGAGGGATTCCAGGGGCAACCCTCTCTAAAACCCCCTCTATATGCTTTGGGATGTGGACTGTGTGTATGAATGTATGTGAGTGTGTGTGAGAAGTGTGTGTGTATGTGTGAATGTGTATGTGCGTGTATATGTTTGTGTGAGTGTGTGTATGTGTGTGAGTTTGAGTGTGTATATGTGACTGTGTATGTGTATGCGTGTATGTGTATGTGAGGGCGTATGTATGATTGTGAATGCATGTGTGTGTCTGTGAATGTGTGTATGAGTGTATGTGTATGTGTGTATATGTATGTGTGTGTGTAAGCATGTGTATATGTGACTGTGTGTGTATGTGTATACATGTATATGTATGTGAGGGCGTATGTGTGTGTATTGTGAATGCATATGAGTGTGTGTGAGTCTGTGAATGTGTGTAAGTGTATGAGTGTGTGTGAGAGTTTGAGCATGTGTATATGTGACTGTATGTGTATATGTATGTGAGGTGTGTGTGTCTGTGAATGTGTATGAGTGTGTGTATATGTGTGTATGTGACTGTGTATATGTGTGAATGTGAGTGTGTATGTGTATATGTATGTTAGTGTATCGTGTGTGTGTATGTGAGTGTTAGTGTGGGTATGAGTATGTGAGTGTATGTGTGTGGGTATGAGTGTGTGTGCCTATGTGACTGTGTGTGTCTAGGTGCATATGTGGTTGTATGTGTGTATATGAATATGAGTGTGTATGTGTGTGAGTGTATGTGTGTGTGAATGTGTGTATGTGTTAGTGTGTGTAAATGTGTATGTGTATGTATGTGTATGTGACTGTGTCTGTGTGGATGTTTATGTTTGTATGTATGTATATGTGAGTATGTGAGTGTGTGTGTCTGCATGTACCTGCCCATGACAAACATTCCCTTTCCAGCTTTGTCTCCAGAGTGCTCTCTACCGTTTGACCTGCTGCGTGCTTTATTTGTTCCCTGCCTGTCTCTTTCTCTCCCTACTAGAATGTAAGCCCCAGGAGGGCAGGAATCTCCACTTGATTACTGCTGTATTTCTAATGCTTAGAATCGTGCCTAGCCCCTGCTGGCCCTCCGTAACGATTCACTGAATGATGAAATGTTCGTCAGTCCTCAGGTTCTGAACCCTGTGCCTGGGGAACCAGAGAGGACCCTGGAGCGGGAGGAGAAAGAGAAGCTTGTCTCAGAAGCTTCACCTCCTCCTGGGGCGATGCAGAGTCTCAGTCCTGAGCAGACGCGGGGGCTGCTGGAGCCCGAGAGGACCAAGACGCTGCTGCCTCGGGAGAGCCGGGCCTGGGAGAAGCCTCCCCATCCCACCTGCACCAAGGACTGGGAGGCTGTGGAGGTTGGGGCCTCCAGCCATGACAGTGATGAGAAAGGTGAGGGGCACGGGTCCTTTGGGAGGTGAGTGGGTGGAGGGGAAGGAATCGGCAGAGCCTAGGGAAAGACTAAACATTCACTCCTTCACTCATGCATTCGACAGCTATTCGTGGAGCACTGTGTCAGTCAGCTTTTGCCGTGTAACAAGTCATCCCCAAACTTAGATGCTTAAAGCAACAATCATGTATCGGCTCATGATTCTGTGGGTCAGAAGTTTGACCTGCCTTCAGGGGATGCTTTTCCTGCCTGTGCTTGTCTGTGCAGCCTCAGAGAGCTGGTGAGGCCACTGGTCGATCTCAGATGGCTTTACTCCCATGTCTGCTGGTGCTGGCTGTTGGCTGGCTTGGTGGTGCTGAGGACAGGTCATGTGTCTCCAGCAGGATTTTTCAGGGTTATTCTCATGGGGGTGCTTGCAGGGTTCTCAGGGAGGGCAAGAAAGGGAATACCCCAATTTTTAAGCACTGGAAGATTTGAAGGGGAAAAACACATGATCTCATTTGCATTTCAAAAATATTCCTCTAACTCAGTGGATTTCAACTGGGCATGGTCTTATAGCCCACCTCTCCTCTCCAGGCGATTTTTGGCAGTGTCTGGAAACGTTTAGGGTTATCCTAACTGTGGAGATGCTGCTGTTATCTGGTGGGGAGAAGCCAGTAGTGATGCTGATAAACATCCTACCATGCACAGGACGGGCCCTCCCCTGACACAAAGCATGGTGCAGCTCCAAATGCCGATAGTGCCAAGTTTGAGAAACCCTGAGTCTCACAGCACGTGACAATGGATTGTAGGGCTAGGAAGTCAAGGATGGAAGGTGGGAGGCCAGTTAGGAGACTCCTGCAACTGTCCGAGAGAGAGGTGGGGTAAGTGGAGAGATTTGGGACACCTTTGGGAGGAGGAATCAGTTCTTGCTGATGGATGTGGGGAAGGGGAGGAAAAGAGAGGTATCACGATGACTTTTAGGGTTTGGGCCCAAACAGATGGATAAAGGGTAGTGCCATTTGCTGATATCTCGATGGCACCCCATAGCAGAAAGGGGCTGAGCCTTGTATCGTCTACGAGGCACTGTCTTTTTCCTCAGGTGGATAAGCAGGTCTGGGACAGAAGGCGTGGATAACAGAGGCCAGCTCTGCTAGTGAGGCTTGGAGCTCCTGGCTGGGGCTCAGGTGCAGGAAGAGTGGAAAATGCCAGAATTTGCCCAGTCTATTCAGCTTAGGGATGAGAAGGACGCTAAGGTTCTGACTGTGGGGACATGTTCCACTAGTGTCTGTTCTTTGGAAGCTGGGGAAGCCTCCCTCATCCTGGTTTACTTCTGTGGCTTTTTCTTCTGCTCCTTCACTCAGTTTCTGCCTATAGAGAAGGAACTCTTACTTACTGGACAGGTAAGGGAGTGAAGACTCAAGTGGCAGCGCACATCAGGTGACCCAGTTGAAGTTTTCCAGGTAGTTATAGAACAGAATTCAGGCCTCCCATTCTCTAAGCCCCACCTGAACCACATAGGCGTGTGTGTGTGTGTGTTGGGGGGGGGGGTTGTGTGTTTGTGTGTGTGTATGAGAGAGGGAGGGTGAGACAGAGAGAGGAGGTTATTAGTAAAGGGACAAGCTATTAGTAAAGGCACAAGATGCCAGTGAGAAGAGCCCACTCCCGCCGTCTAGCCACTCACTCTTGGCTCCTTTTTCTTCCACTCCCACCCTCACTTAGACCTGTCTTCTCAAGAGACTGGGCTTTCCCAGGAGTGGAGTTCGGTGGAGGAAGATGACGAATCAGAGGGCTCCCAGGTACACTGGGGGGTTTGTTCTTTTTCCACAAATGTCCCACTCTGTAGAGCTTAGCAGTTTGTCACATTTGCATTCTCAGCTTGGAATTTACCTGCCCCATAAAAATCTCAAGAGATCTCTTGTGTCTGATCTCTATGGTGATCAGACACAGACTGGAGGGTCTCCATGTGGTGTGCATAACTTAGTTCACGCGTATCCTCCAACACTTCCTTCATAAATCCATCTACCCATGCATCCACCTCTGTAATTCATCTTCTATCCACTTATTCATCAACTCTCCCTTCCACCCACCCTCTTACCTTTCCAATCACTCATCCATTCATTCATCCACCACTCAAACATCTACCAGCCATTCACTCATCTGTTCAGTCATTCATCTACCCAAACTTTTATTCACCTAGTCTTTTGTATACCCATCCATCCATCCATCCATCCATCCATCCATCCATCCATCCACCCACCCACCCCTACACTTCATCTGTTTATACACTTATCCACCATCCATCCATCCATCCATCTGTCCGTCCGTCCATTCATCCATTCATCCATCCATCCATCCCTATACTTCATCTGTTTATCCACTTATCCATCCATCCATCCATCCATGCATCAACCCATCCCTATACCTAAGCTGTCTATCCACTTATCCATCCACCCATAAACCCTCCCTTCCACCTACCCTCTCACCTTTCCATTCACCCATCCATTCATTCAGCTACCCATTGAACATCCACCAACCATTCATCTGTCTACTCATTCATTTACCCAACTTTCATCCCTTATGCATCCATATACCCATTCCATCCATCCTTCCATCCACCCATTCATCCATCCATATATCCAGTTATCCATACACATACTCATTCACCCTTTTATTCAGATGCCATCAATCCATCTATTCAATCCACCCACCTACATACCCATCCCATATCCACTCATCTGTCCACCCACCTATTCATCCCTCTACTACCTGTTGGCTGTGGTGGGATGTGGCTAGTATGCATCCACGCATATGCCCACTCATGCATTCATCCATCTGTATCTATTCACACATCCAGTCATAAGGCCACCTACCAATCCATTCACCCATCCACCCACTATTCCATTTATCCATTCACTAACCATCTACTGAGTTTTAATTCACATACTACAAGTAAAATCAAAGAGAATCATCAAACACATTCCTTTCACTAAAAAAAAACCTAATGTTTTCTTTTTTGAGGAATAAGACATCAATATAAGAAAACCAATGGTTCTTTCATTTATACATTCATCTCATACATGAGAAAAATCACATAATCACTCTCAGTGAGCACATGAGAGTCCCATCCATCTCCCAATCATGTCAGGAATGTAACTCTGGCTGCCTCAAGCCAGAAAATGGATTTATTGACTCGTGGTGCAGAGGTGAGGGTGAGAGAAACAAACTGGCCAACAAACCATGATAGTGCAGAAATAAGTGCTGGGCACAGTGGGGAGGCCCAAAGGAAGAAGTTAACTGCATGCCAGGAGGTTTATTCTTGGATATCCTAGAGAGGAGGACACACCAGACCCGGGGTTTTCGGGATAGTAAGAATTCCATGGGCATAGCAGGGAAGGGAATAGCATGTGCACAGGCAAGGTGGTATAGCACGGTACGTTTTGGGGACACTGAAGTTAAGGGCAGAGCAGTGGGAGATTTGGGTGAAAATATGGCTGGGATGACATCATTCATTCATTGCATGTCTATTTCTTGAGCACCTACTCAGTGCCAAGCAGTGTTCAATGCACAGAGTGTACAATAGTGAGACAGAAATGGTCCCTGCCTTCATGGAGCTCACGGTCACTGAGGTAGACAGATGACAACTGAAATAAGCAGCTAAAATATGAATTGCGCTGAGTGGTGATAACTGCTATGGAGAAAAATAAAGCATGAAGGGGATCTGGGAGTAGGAGTTGGGGCTGGGGGTTGCCATTTTAAGAAGGGTGTCTAGGAAAGTCCCCACTGAGAGGGAGCTATTGAGTGAGGACCTGAAGGAGGTGGGGAGTGAGACTGGCAGATGTCTAGGGGTAACGGGCTCTATGCAGAGGACACAGCAAGTGCAAAGGCCCTGAGGTACAGATGTGCCTGGTACATCTGGGGAACACCAAGAGGGGTGGTGGTCAGCGTGGCTGGAGGGTGGGAGGGAGGACTAGGAGGTGAGGTCATGGAGGTGATGGGATGGATGATGTAGCGTCTCGTGGACCATGGTGAAATGTGGGTTTTACTCTGAGTGGGGTGGGAGCCATAGGCGAGTTCTAGACAGAGGAGGGACATGTTCTGATTTGGCCTTTAAGAGGACTCCTCTCTCTGCCAAGTCCCACACCGATGAGGTTGGATGTGTTTTGCAGGCAGTGGGAGCCATAGAACGGGTTTGGGGACTTAGAGAATCTGGGAGCCCATGTAGAAGGAAGGTGGGTTGGATGTGGCTGGGGTTAGAGTGTGGGGGGCAAAGGAGCAAGTCAGAAATGTGTAGTTAGGGAAAAAAGCAGAGAAGAGTTGCCACTTTCCTTGTGCATGTTACAAGCTTGATGTTATTTTTTTTTTTTTTTTTTTTTTTTTGAGTTGGAATCTTGCTCTGTCGCCAGGCTGGAGTGCAGTGGCGTGATCTTGGCTCACTGCTCACTGCAACCTCCGCCTCCTCTGTTCACTGCTCACTGCAATTCTCCTGCCTCAGCCTCCTGAGTAGCTGGGACTACAGGTGCACACCACCATGCCCAGCTAATTCTTGTATTTTTAGTAGAAACGGGGTTTTACCATGTTGGCCAAGAAGGTCTTGATCTCTTGACTTCACGATCCACCCACCTCAGCCTCCAAAAGTGCTGAGATTACAGGCATGAGCCACGATGCCCAACCAGCTTGCTGCTATTCTAAGCGCATTTTATAACTCATCTAGTAACTGAACACTAATTAACTCCCATGATTAACTCATGAGCCCTGTGAGATCGTTAGCATGGTTTCCTCCTCTATAGATGAGGAAACTGAGGCAGAGAGAAACCAAATGGCTTGCTTCGGGTCCCACAATGAGTGGGTCGCAGAGCTAGCATAGAGTTTGGGCTTGGAGGCGAGGACAGGAGCCAATGGGACCCAGGACGTGTCGAGTCGGGGACCTGATGGCATTTCCAGATCTGTGGGACATAAAAGCTGCAGGAACAGGGGCAAACGCAGGGGCAACACCTGAATTCTGATGTGGGGACAGGGCAGAGGGAGGTTCTAGCCTCTAGCATAGGCATCAAGGAGGAAGTTTGGAAGAAATGACAAGATCAATTTTAGACATGCTGCTTGGGTGAGGCCTCTGTGACATCATTCATTCACTCACTCATTCGCCCAGTTGTAATTCATTGAACCAGCATTGATGGAGCACACACCGGGGGGCTGATAGGGGAGGGCCTCTCATTGGCAGGCTCTGGGTCCGTTTTCTGCATGGACAGACCCTCCTTCCTGCAGACAACTACCCACTTCCAAAAAAGAAAGAGGAGCGGGCTGTCTGGAACCAGAGACCTTTGATGGCAGTCACAGCCTTATCATGGGCCAGGAGCTGGACTTTGTGCTCTACTTACCTTAATTTACTTGGTCCTCTTATCAGTCCTTGAGGTGGGACCTGTTATCCCATTTTACAGATGGGAAAACTAAGGCACAGAGAGGTTTTGTGACTTTCCCTTGTCATGCAACATGTAAATGGCAGAGCTAGGATTTGAACCTAGCATGTCTCTTAACCACTAGGTGTCCTGCCTGTTTGGGGCTTGATCCTGCCCCGAGAGAGGACTGGGGACAGAGGATGAAGGCCTCTCCCTGTTCTCTATACCTCCTGTGGAGAGGACTGAGTGAAGAAGTAGAAGAAAGAAAAAGAGTTACTTTCCAGGAGGGCAGAAGTTCCCAGTCTGTGGGCCCACAGGAAAGCAAGCAGGGGAAAATGCTCCCATCATTCCCATTCCATAAAATGCAAGCATATGTAACACCTGCAAATCTTATGTAAGTGCATGAGATTTTAAAAAGATCAATGCCCAGAAATAACCCCTGGTAAAAGTTGCTGTAACAGGCCAAATTCATCCATAGTGTGAGAAGTTGGGGTAGTGGTTACCAGATTTGCGGGGTTGATAATTATCTGCTTCCTGTTTGGGGTGCTAGTTACGTGGTGTGTTCACCTTCTGAAGTTGCCTCAGGCTGTACACCTAGGATGTGTGCAACCTCCTCTTTCTACATTCCACTTCAACAGAATGTTTTAAGCTGGCCAGGCACAGTGACTCCTGTCTGTAATCACAGCACTTTGGGAGGCAGAGGCAGGCGGATCGCTTAAGGTCATGAGTTCGAGACCAGCCTGCGTAACATGGCAAAACCCCATTTCTACTAAAAATACAAAAATTAGCTGGGCATGGTGACGCTTGCCTGTAATCCCAGCTACTCAGGAGGCTGCGGCAGGAGAATCGCTTGAACCTGGGAGGTAGAGTTTGCAATGAGCTGAGATTGTACCACTGCACTCCAGCCTAGGTGACAGAGTGAGACTCTGCCTCAAAAAAAAAAAAAAAAAAAAAAAAAGAAAAAGAAAAAGAAAAGAAAAAGAAAAAGAAAAATAAGTTGCTGTATATGTCCTGCCAAACATGTTTCCCTATATACTGAGACTGAATTGAGATTTGTATGCCAGTGCTTGATTGAGGGTTGTGCTCTCAGGTGAAGCCCAGGAGGGAGTGAGGGAAGCTGGGGAGGGGAGGAGAGGGAACCAGGCAAGTATGTTGGTAGAACTGAAGTCCAGCCTCCGTCTTATCTCAGGGGAGCCCTGGAATGTGAATAGAGAGTTGTCCTCCTCTGGGCCAGGTGCAGTGGCTCAAGCCTGTAATCCCAGCACTTTGGGAGGCTGAGGCGGGTGGATCACGAGGTCAGGAGTTCAAGACCAGCCTGGCCAAGATGATGAAACCCCATCTCTACTAAAAATACGAAAATTAGCTGGGTATGGTGGTGGACGCCTGTAATCCCAGCTACTCGGGAGGCTGAGGCAGAGAATTGCTTGAACCTGGGAGGCAGAGATTGCAGTTAGCTGAGATTGCCGCTGCACTCCAGCCTGGGCAACACAGCGAGACTCTCCTTCTCAAAAAAAAAAAAAAAAAAAAGAGAGAGAGAGAGAGAGAATTGTCCTCCTCTGAGTCAATGGAGTGGCCTTTTGTATCCCATATGAGTTATTGTTGGCTGTGGACTGCCCTGGAGGCGAGTTAACCTCCTGGGTAATCCTCTAGGAAGGAGGATCTCATTAGCAAAGGGTGTTTGTCAGAAGAGAAGGAGCAACTACAAACTGTAAACCATACAACTTGCAGCCAGTACCGCTAGCATCCAGGGGAGAGCCGCATCAGCCTGAAAAACAGAAATAAAGAGGAACTAGGGAGGCATCTATGGGTCTATTATGTGTGATGTGGGTAAAGTTATTGGATTTCAGATTACCTGTAGTTATTACATTTTCTTAACTTTATATTCTGCTTTTCAAAATTGAAGTATAATTATTTCCAATAAAATGCACGAACCAGAGAGTGTTTACACACGTACATCCATGTAACCAACACCCCAATCAAGATATTGAGTGCTGTCATCATTCTAGAACATTCTCTTATTTTCCCTTCTGGTCCCTCTCACTCCCCAGCCCTGGAGGCAACTATAGTTCTTGATTTCCACTTACATGGATTAGTTTTGCTTGTTGTTGAATTTTATCTAAATACTGTCATGTAGTAAACTACACATATATTTTTTAATTCCGCAAATGGAAATTACGGCAAAATTGTTATTGCTCCAATTGGCATTGTCACTTAATACATGCTGGACAGTTTTCCATTTAATACATACTGATTATCTTCATTGTATTTCAAAGTTACTTTTTACTGCTGCCAAATATTCTCTAGCTCGGTTGTGTCAGACCCATTTCCTTGGCTGATGAATTGTTAGGCTGCCATTGTTGTGACTGTTACAGAAGGCAATGCTACAATGAGCATTTGTTCAGTTGGCCCAATTTTATGCATAGTTTATGAGGAACTTTATACAAATTCACATTCTCTGGTTCTCCTCAGATACACAACCAGAAAATCCAAAGGGGATCCCAAGATATTTGAAAAACTCTCCCAACAACTTTTGGGGCTCTACCAGGTTTGGGAACTGCTTAAGTGGGTCATTGTCCCTAGGTATCTGGTTGTAAAGGAAGATTTGAAATGAGGTATCATCCAGAGGGAATCAGCAGGCTAGAGGGAGGAATTTGTTTTCAAAGATTAGAAATGTGAATTCCATCAATGATTTATAATATACTTTAATAATTCATAGTATGTGTCCTTCCATTTTTCTTCTTTCATAGGATTTTTTTTCAGTGTTCACCATTGCCTAACTTTCCAGATAATCCATTACGTCTTGTGCATTCACCATTCACTTCCTTGATGTTTTAATAGCAATTGCACTAAATTTATCATTAATTTGGAAAATTGTCATCATTATGTCTTCTCATCTCTTATCATGGTACATTTTTTCATTTATTAAATCATTCAACAAATATTTACAGAGTTCATACCCTGTTCCAGGCACTGGGACTACAGTAGCAAACAAAGCAAGGGTTTGCCCTCTTGGTGCTTACAGTGTCATTGAAGGAAGAGACGATAAACATACATAGCATGTCAGGTGGTGATAAGAGCATGGAGAAAAAGACAAGGGGCATGCACAGTGCAGGTCTTTGTTGGGAAGGGGTTGTGGAGGGCATCCTGGTTTACATAGGTAATGAGGGAAAGGTTTTCTAAGGACTGACAGGCAAGCTTTAAGGGTATCTGGAGGAAGGGCATTCCAGGAAGAAGAGCTCGTAACTACAAAGGCTTGGAAGTGACTGTGGCTGGAACAGAGTGAGAAAGGCAAGGAATGACGTCAACTTTAGAGGGAGCACTCTGACCCATGGACAAGAAATGGGGTGGGATTATCAAGATAAGAAACGAAATTCTGTATCAAGAGTACAAGATAGATGACAGTGGCTTTGACCAGGGTGGTGGTAGTGAAGGGGGGGGAAATGGTCGGATTCTGAATGCTTTGAAGATAAAGCCAATAGTATTTGCTGATGTCTTGAATGTGGGTGGTGACAGAAAGAGAGGAGTCAAGAATACCACAGTTGGAGTTCTGGAGGGGCCTGAAGGGGTAATGGGAGGAAAGCTGCATGAGGAGCTTTTGTGTGTGGCGGGGACATTAGAATATTTGTTTGGGGACGTGTGAAGTTTAAGATGTCCATCAGATATCCAACTGGAGATGGCAAATAGGCAGTGAGATATATAGTTGGGTCAAAAAACACACATACATATACATGCACACACATATCTCTTGAGGGGTGAGGTCATTAAAGCATAGACAGTATGTTAAAACTGAGATTTAATATACCAAGGAGATTTTGAAATTGTCATCCCATTATTTGAACATTTCCTCTGAGAGAGCATAGTTATGTTACGTTCGTTTATCTTATATCTAGTTACTCAGCTGTACCGTTTTAAATTTAAACAGCTTTTCTCTTGATATGACATTTCATTTCTAATCATATAAGCCTATTTTCCTGCAAGTAACAATGGTGGCCCCTTCCTTTCCAATATTTATCCTTTTCCTTTTTTCTGTTTCAGGGCTTTGTGGAGTGGTCAAAAGCTCCACAACAAACAACCATAGTCTTGGTAGTGTGCGTGCTTTTTTTGTTCCTGGTTTTAACGGGGATGCCTATGATGTTTCACATTTAACTATAATGGTGGCTGTTGTTTTAAAAGTTTAATTTAATGAAATAGATGCCCTGCATTATGTTAAGGAAGTGTGCTAGTTAAAAATCAGGAATAGGTGTTGAATATTTTCAAATGCCTTTCAAACATCCTTTGAGATGATTTAAAAAATTTTTTTGGTGTGAGTTTTCACATACTTTATTTCCATGAAATGAAGACATCATTGATTGTAAAACATTATTTTGTATACTACGGATAAAGAAAAATGCTAATTAATCGTAAGATGCCACCAACTGGAAGATATCTCCTGACTTTGAGAAGATGAAAAAATGTGCAACTGAGGATCAATGAAATCTGGTAGATTTCCTAACATCAAACCAACTTTGCATTCTTAAGGTTGTGGTGCACCAGTCTTTTCATACACTAAATTATATTTATTGATATTTTATGTAGGATTCTTGCCTCTATCTTCATATGTGAGATTGGTGCTATCTTTGTGAAGTTTTGGTGTCATGGTTAAGCTTGCATCATAGAAAGACTTGGGTAACTTTTACCTTTTCTATGCTTTTAAGCAGTTTCTGTAGCTTGAGAAGTATCAGTCCCTTGAAATTTTAAATGAATTCATTGTTATAACCAGGTCATAGAGTCATGGAGAGAATGTTTCAGCTAATTCTTGGGCAGCTTTCTTAGTTCTTTACAATGTTATCAGTTTATTAATACTTTTTACCTCTTGCATTTATTTTGGTGAATTACAGAGTTTTTTCTTTTTTTTTTTTTTGAGACCGCGTCTCACTCTGTCACCCAGTCTGGAGTGCAGTGGCGTGATCTCTGCAAGCTCTGCCTCCCAGGTTCACACCATTCTCCTGCCTCAGCTTCCCGAGTAGCTGGGACTACAGGTGCCTGCCACCATGCCCAGCTAAGTTTTTGTATTTTTTAGTAGAGACGGGGTGTCACCGTGTTAGCCAGGATGGTCTCGATCTCCTGACCTCGTGATCCACCTGCCTTGGTCTCCCTAAGTGCTGGGATTACAGGCGTGAGCCACCATGCCCAGCCCAGAGTTCTTTTATCCTCTAGAAAATTCTTCATTCCATAGGGCTTTTTCATATTATTAGCTTAATTATGCCTACTGTTTTATAATTAAAATTTTTCCTTTATTTTGTTCTATCCCCTCTATCCTGTCAACTGCTGTTTGTGGTTTACTCATCATTAAATTTGTCAAAGGTTTATCTAGTTTACTATTGTTTTTCCAAAGAACCAGCATTAGGATTCATTTATATCCGTTATTTCTTTTATTTGTAATTTGTTTTCCTTTGATATGTATTGCATTTATTTTTTATTGTTTTTCTTGTCTCAGTTTTTATATTGAATACTTGATTTATATTCTCTTTATATTTTCTATAGTGGTATACTTATTAATACAAATGTACTTCTGGATATAGCCTTGGCCACATCTTAACATTTGATTATTCATTTTTATGTTGTCTAAATATTACATTGTAGTGTTTCTAAAGAGTGCTTTGAAACTCAGTGATATGGTTTATTTTTTGTTTAAAAATAGTTTTGTTTTCTTGTTTTACTGCACTGTGAACACAGAATGTGGCCTACAACACATCTGCTTCCAAAACTTTTTAAAAAGCTTTTAGTGTGGCCTAGAACATGTCCATTTTTTTGTAATTATTTCTCAAACATTTAAGATGAAGATAGCTTCTCTGTCTGTAGAATTGAAAACTTTACATGCCTGTTAATTAACTCAGTATCATCAATTATATTGTTCAGATTCATATGTTATCTAATTTTGGCCTACTATATTCATTAAAAACCAATAAGGTTATGTGAAAATCTGTTAGTACAATTGTTTTTGCTAATGAATTTTTATAATCTTTGCTTTATGTACTCAACAGCTGTGTAATTCGATGCATATAAGTGCAGCATTGTTATATCCTTGCCAATTAAATAATATATGTAAAACACCATATGACAGTGGCAGGCAGATAGTAGGCACTCAATAAATGTTAATTAAAACCTGATTCTGAATCCTTTGTTAAATATAAAATGATTGTTTTCAGTCAGTTTAATCCTTTGCCTTAAATTTTACTTTGTCTAATACTGGTTGATATTACCATCCTGCACTTAAAAAAAAATTCTTCTGTCTACGTATATGAGGTTCTCTAGAGAAATTAACAGGGAAAAATATGGGATTATCTCTCCATTCCTCTCTTAGGCTGATTGCCTGCAACAAGCAACCAGCCCTTAAAAGAAAGGAAAACCGGCCGGGCGCGGTGGCTCAAGCCTGTAATCCCAGCACTTTGGGAGGCCGAGACGGGCGGATCACGAAGTCAGGAGATCGAGACCATCCTGGCTAACCCGGTGAAACCCCGTCTCTACTAAAAATATACAAAAAAAACTAGCCGGGCGAGGTGGCGGGCGCCTGTAGTCCCAGCTACTCGGGAGGCTGAGGCAGGAGAATGGCATAAACCCGGGAGGCGGAGCTTGCAGTGAGCTGAGATCCGGCCATTGCTCTCCAGCTTGGGCGACAGAGCGAGACTCCGTCTCAAAAAAAAAAAAAAAAAAAAAAAAAGAAAGGAAAACTGGCCTTAACTATTACATTTTTTTTTGAGATTCTACTGGAAATAAGAGAAGCTCAATTCAAATGAGCTTAAGCAAAATAATGATAATAATAATTATTATTATTGGTTCATGTTACACCAAAGTTTGGGATAAAATTGGCTTTAATTACAGCTGGTTCTGGGGGACCCAAAAATCTCACTGGGGTTTTTCCTCTCCTCACCTCCCTCTCTTTCTTCTACGTGGCTGGGGATGGCTATCATGGACCCTGTGATCATCTCTTCCACACAGCAAGGTCGGAGACCTGGCAGATTCTCATGACACACACTCACGACTCGCATCCTTGTTCTGCCTTGGGGACAAGAGTGAAATAAGGGGAGAGAGAGCAGCAACTGCAAAGGCCCTGAGGCATAAACCAACTGCCCAAGTAAAGGGTGGAGAATGGACTGTAGCAGGGCAAAGCAGAAGCAGGGAGATGAGTGTGGAGACTGTCTTAGGTGTCCAATCAACAGGGGCTGGGCTGGGCATGGTGGTTCACGCCTATAATCCCAGCACTTTGGGAAGCCAAGGCCGGAGGATCACTTGAGGTTAGGAGTTTGAGACCAGCCTGGGCAACACAGTCAGACCCTGTCTCTACAAATAATAATAATAAAAAAAATTGTCAGGCATGGTGGCATGCACCCGTAGTTCCAGCAAGGTGAGGCAAGAGGACTGCTTAAGCCCAGGAGGCTGAGACTGCAGAGAGCCATGATTAGGCCACTGCACTCCAGCCTGGGTGAGTGAGACCCTGTATCAAAAAACAAACAAACAAACAAATACACCCAAAAAAACAAAAAGTAGCGATAATGTTTGGGGGCTGAGTGGGCTCTGATTAGCTCAGCCAGTGCCACAGGTCTTGACTGATTTTGTGGGATATTGAAAATAATCATGGCCAGGCACGGTGGCTCACACCTATAATTCCAACACCTTGGGAGGCCAAGGTGGGCAGCTCACTTGAGGTCAGGAGCACGAGACCAGCCTGGCCAACATAGTGAAACCCTGTCTCTACTAAAATACAAAGAAATTAGCTAGGCCTGGTGGGTGCCTGTAATCCCAGCTACTCAGGAGGCTGACGCAGGAGAATCGCTTGAACCTGGGAGGTCGGGAGGTGGAGGCTGCAGTGAGCAGCAGAATTGTGCCATGCCACTGCACTCCAGCCTGGGCAACAGAGCAAAACTCTGTCTCAAAAAAAAAAAGGAAAGAGAAGAGAAGAGAAGAATCATGATACTATCAGTAATATACATCATATTAGCAATGGTCTGCTAATTAGCTCTACAGTATGCCAGGGACCTAATTTCATGGATGACGGAAGTATCCACTCAAGCCACTGACGTTCCATTCTCTACGCAACAGCTGGACAGATCCCATGAAAACATAATTAACCAGACTGGGCAACATAGTGAGACCCCGTCTCTACAAAAATAAAAATAAAAAAATTAGCCAGGCATGGTGGCGTGCACCTGTAGTCCCAGCTACTGTGGAGGCTGAGGCAAAAGGGTCGCTTGGGCCCAGAAGTTCGAGGTTACAGTGAGCTACAACTGTGTCACTGCATTCCAGTCTATGCAACAGAGAGAGACTTTGTTTCTAAAACAACAACGAAACAACAACAATAATAATAATAACAATAACATTAGGACCATTCATAATCCTCCCATTTCAGGTAAAGCCAAAGTCTTCACAATGCCATCCAGCCCTATTACAGGTGGCGTCTGTTCCATCCTCCTTATCTTGCTCCCTCCCATGCAGCCACACTGGCCTCCTTGCTGTTTCTCAAACTCGCCCGTCATGCTTACTTCAGGACTTGTGCACTGCTCCCGCTCCCCGGAATGCTCTTCCCCCAGAAGCTCACATGGCTCCCTCATCTCTTTGAGGTCTCAAATGTCACCTCCTTAGAGAAGCCTTCCCCGACCACCCTCAAGTAGCATCTCTCTCCGCAGGTCCCGGTCTACTTACCTCCACAGATTGTATCACGACCTGACAAGTAATGGGTCAATGCAGTTCCAGTCTAGCGTCCTCAATGGCCATTCCTGCTCCTTCGGTGGTTCTTCCCGGAGGAAGCGCGGTCCGCGAAGATGGAACTGGGGGAGCAGAGGGCTGTGGAGTTCATGCTGTGCCTCCCAGGAACTCCTCACACATCCATACCAGCTTGTGGCACCTCCGCACGACCCCACCCCCATGCTTTTGAAGCTGCTCTTTTTTTTTTTTTTTTTTTTTTTTTTTTCATGCTTTTCTGGAAGCTGCCTTTTTTTTTTTTTTTTTTTTTGAGACAGAGTCTCACTCAGTCGCCCAGGCTGGAGTGCAGTGGTGCAATCTCGGCTCACTGCAAGCTCCGCCTCCCGGGTTCACCCATTCTCCTTCCTCAGCCTCCCGAGTAGCTAGGACTATAGGCACCGCCATCACGCCCGCACTTTTGTACTTTATAGAGACGGGGTTTCATCATGTTAGCCAGGATGGTCTCGATCTCCTGAACTCGTGATCTGCCCTCCTCGGCCTCCCAAAGTGCTGGGAGGATTACAGGCGTGAGCCACCGCGCCCGGCTGCTCTGTCTCTTCCTTCAACAGGGCACGTTGGACCAGGGTGGTACCTGAATATAGTATCTAGGGAACACTGTGTAGGGGAAAATAGGTACTAAAAGTTGGTAAATACGGCAAATCTAAAATCACAGGGATTAGGCCAGGCACAGTGGCTCATGTCTGTAATCTCAGCACTTTGGGAGGCTGAGGCAGGTGGATCGCCTGAGGTCAGGTGTTCGAGACCAGCCTGGCCAACATGGGGAAACCCTGTCTCTACTAAAAATACAAAATTAGCCGCGCGTGGTGGCGTGTGCCTGTAATGCCAGCTACTTGGGAGGCTGAGGCAGGAGAATCACTTGAACCCGGGAGTCAGGGGTTGCAGTGAGCTGAGATTGTGTCACTGCACTCCAGCCTGGGCAAAAAGAGTGAAACTCCATCTCAAATAAATAAATAAATAAATAAATAAATAAATAAAATAAAGTAAAACCACAGGGATTAAGTGGCCCACCCCTCGGGCCAGTCATGTGGCCTGTGGTTAGTAATTGTAAAGGTGAAACTGCCTACTGGGCAATTCCGATTGCCGGAGAGATGCTTTGGGAGGGATTACTGAGAAGGCTGCACGCTGCCACCAGAGGGCAGCTTCGGCATCCAGTGCTGTGAGAGTTCACAGAATCCTAGGTCCTGTTCCTCCTTACCTTATCTGTCAATCCTTACATTTCAGAAGCTCAGAAATATTTTGACTAATTCCTCCTCCACGGACTCAGCCGACTCTAACCTCCCGGGAGCTTTCCTCTTTCTACAGCAGGAGGGGTTCATGGCAAATTCTCATCACCCCTCCCTATTGCTGCTTCGCCACTGAACAGGAGCTCATGGCCGACCAACCTGCCCACACCAAACACACCTTCCAGCGGCGCCGTCCCGTGCGTCCCAGCTCCGCGGGAAACTCTCCCTAGCGGTTGCAGCCCGACGCCTGCGCACTGGAGAGGCGCCAGCCCCCTGCGCCTGCGCACTCCGACTAGGCGGGGTCTCCCTGCGCCTGCGCACTCCGACTAGGTGGGGTCTCCTCGAAAAGAGCCGGCGGAAGGGTTAAGAGGACCGACGCCGACCACGCCCACGACCACGCCCCCAGCCCTGCCAGTTCTCCGCAGAGCGGGTCTGACCCCGCTCTTTGCTCTTTTTCTGCTGCTCTCTTGGGTGATAGACTGTCCCCCATGTCTGTAAACTAGGGTAAGCATTTCACGCATTCAACCTTTCACCCGGCACTGCCTGAGCACCTATTGTGTGTCGAGGCCTGGACTGGGCGAAGTTCGGGTCTCTTAGGGCTGGTGCTGGGATGTTCAGCTACTCATTCGCTCCCTCAGCTTTTCTTGAGGACCTACTGTGTGCTGGGACCGGGGCTGAGCAAAGTTTGGGTCACAGGAAGAAACCAGAATGCGTGGTCCCTGAACCTGTGGGCTCCAAGGCTGGTGCTGGTGTTGGGGATGTATAACTATTCATACAGTCACTGACAATTCTTGAGGACCTACTGTGTGCTGAGGCCTGGGTGGTCAGTCAGGAGCCAAGGGAAGAACCAACTGCTTGGTCCCTGGTCCTAAAGAGCACAGGGCCAATTCAGGTTTTTTTTCACCTGTTCAATCAGCCTGACATTTCCTGAGGACCTACTGTGTGCCCAGGCCTGTTCAGGCAATGCCAGGACGGGTCAAAAGGTATAATGACGCCCTTCTTTCTTCTACCAGGTCCCTCACTGCTTCCTTGGTGGGGTTGAGAGTTAAGAGAGCTGGCAGGTAGGGAACCAGATGTGTCTATACCTGTGTGTGTCCTGTGTGTCTCTGCACTGGGGTCTCTGAGTGCCCCAGTGCCCCCCCGAACAAGTTACACATATTAAAGACTATCTGGGTTTGTTATTTTCA